CTAATAATAAGAAGAAAAGTGAGGAAACCCGAATATGTATTGATTTTAGAAGATTCAATGATGAAATTGTTAAGGACAGGTATCCTTTACCATTAATAGAGGACCAACTGGATAAGCTGAGGGATGCCCGAGTGTTTAGCATACTTGATCTAAAAAATGGATTTTTCCACGTACCTCTGGACACACATCAGAGAAGGGGAGGTATTAACTTATTTAGATGATGTTGTAATAGTGGCATCCGATGGAAAACAAGCATTGGATCGATTAACCCGTGTAATAAAAACGGCAGAACGTTATGGTTTGCAACTAAATTGGAAAAAATGTCAACTGATGAAAACAGACATCACCTATTTGGGACATTATATTGAGTATAACCTTATCAGACCATCAGAGGAGAAAACGTTAGCTGTCCAAAGATTTTTGCAGCAACTGTTCAACAGGTACACAGTTTTCTCGGCTTGACCGGGTATTTCCGTAAATTTATTAGGGATTATGCTTACATTGCAAAGCCATTAAGCGATTTGCTGGGTAAGAATATTAAGTTCAAGTTTGAAACACCACAGGAGGTTGCATTTGCAACGTTGAAGAATTTATTGTCTAGTAGACCAGTGTTGGGAATTTATCATCCCTAAGCTATAACTGAATTACACACGGATGCGTCGAAACTTGGTTATGGAGCAGTACTTTTGCAAAAAGGTGAAGACGGCAAAATGCATCCTATCTACTACATGAGTAAGAAGACAACTCCGGTAGAACAAAATTATTGCAGTTACGAACTTGAAACATTAGCTGTGATAACAGCCTTGAAGAAGTTCAGAATCTATCTACAGGTACTCAAGTTTAAAATTGTGACTGGCTGCGCAGCGCTATCCATGACTTTACGGAAAAATGATTTGTCACCTAAGTTATGTGTTTGGGACAGTTTCAATATGAAATTGAACATAGACCAGGTACAAAAATGGCGCATTGTGATGCTCTTTCAAGGAATATTTTAACTGTTACTATTAATTCCGAATTAATCGAGCAGGTGAAACGAGCTCAAGCTGATGATGAGTATGTCAGAGCAGTGATAAAATTGTTAGAAAATAGTCTACCGCACGAAGACTATCAGTTGAAGTACGGGATATTGTATAAAACTGTACAGGGAACAGATTTGATTGTAATACCAAATAAGAGGCAAATGGAAATAATAAGGAGAACGCACGAGGGTAATGGGCACTTTTCCATCAGAAAAACTGAAGATATGATTTTACGTGATTTTTGGTTTCCAAAACTTAGATCGAAAATTGAACAATGTATTAAAAACTGCGTTAGATGTATCCTAGCTGAGCAAAAATACGGAAAGCAAGAAGGTTTTTTAAACCCAATCCCAAAAGAGGAAATTCAATTACAAACGTATCATATGGATCAGCTAGGACCACTTGAAACTACGGCTACAAGTATTTGTTGATAATCATTGATAGTTCTACCAAATTTGTGTGGCTATACCCTACCAAAACTGTTACAGCGGAAGTAACTATTAGCAAATTGGAACAACAGAAGATGATATTTGGTAATCCTGAGCATATTGTCACCGATAGAGGTACAGCTTTCACGGCAGAAAAGATCAGGGCTTATTGTCGAGATGAAAATATTCAGTTAATCCACATAACTACTGGTGTTCCAAGAGCCAACGGACAAGTTGAGAGAATCAACCGTATAATAATACCGATATTAACTAAACTAACTGTCAATGAGTCAACATGGTTTAAACATGTTGGTAAACTGCAACTATTCTTAAATAAAACGTATCAGAGAAGTATTCGAACTAGTCCAGGTGAAATCCTATTTGGAGTACCTTTGACACACAAAGACGATATCGGATTAAAGGAAATAATCGAGGACGAATACCTACAAACTTTTGTTGAAATCATCCGTAGATATCAGTAGTATCCAATCTCCTAAAATCAGTATTAACTAAGCATATTAACTACTGCCATCAGTATATAGTCTCCTGCTAGCAGTATCAAGTTTCCTGCGAGCAATATCAAGTCTCCTGCAAACAGTATTTAATCTCCTACAAGCAGTGTCTGCTCCTATACAAGCAGTATTAACTCTTGCGAGTGGTACATCGTGTCCTACAAGCAGTAGTTTTGTCTTTTATAAACAGAATCCAGTCTAAATAGTATTTAAATAGTATTAACTCCTGTGAGCAGTATATCGTCTCCTACAAGCAGTATTTAATCTTCTGGAAGTAGTATCTAATATTGTAAAAGCAGTATCTCATCTCATACAAGCAGTATTAACTCCTGTCAGTAGTACGTAGTCTCCTGCAAGGAGCATTTAATCACTTGCAAATTATATTTAATCACTAACAAGCAGTATCTAGTCTTATGCAAGCATAGTAGTAACTGCTATCCGTGTTAAAAGTCAAGGCCCATTACTTTAGAGATCGATATCTTCACAACCGCTCGATAAAAAAAATCGCGGAAAAGTTTGTTGTAATTACTGAACATTTCTATGTGACATATGCGTATTACTTACGTAAAATGAATGAAGAACTTTTAATAAACTTAATCCGTGGTTATCCACATCTTTATTTGATACGTGATAAAAATTATCACAACCAAGAAATGAAAGAAAATGAAAATACCGTTTAAGTACCTAATATTGCATTGCAACCTTATTTCCATTTCCGTCCTTTAATCCCTTAATTTTGTCAAGGAACAAGTCCTTCAGGCGTATTGAAAAATTCTGAGAATTTATCTTGAACATTCATTGCATCACGAGTATAATTGCCTGCCATATTTCTAGTATGGTCTAAACCTTGTGGCACTTCTGTTTGCTGTTGTTCATCAGGATGCCAAGAACATTTATCATTTCTTAAAAAGTTGTGCAAGCAAGTATCTGCCATAATTATTTTGTCGGTGTTCGGGAATAAAGTCATTTTCACTACATCGTCTAGCTCTGCTATGTCGGTAATTGTAAATTTTTTTGTTATTATTTGGAAGTTGTACTCCAGGATATGGACGCATGAAATTTGTAGTTAGAGGAAAAGCTTCATCCCCTACAACATGAGGCATTAAAATATCACTTCCAGGCAACATTTTTGGTCCAGATATGTTCAATGTACCACCATTTAAAGCTCTTCCTAGTGCTGAATTTTTGAACATTCCTCCATCGCTATTCTTGCCATAAGCCCCATCATGGATGGTAAAATAAATCTTAACTCAGCATTGACGAGCGCCATCAAGACAACACTGAATTCTTCTTTATAATTAAAAAAAGTTGACCCACTGTTTGGTGGTTTTTCCGTCACAACATGCTTTTCATCCAAAACACCTATACAGTTTGGGTAGTTCCATTTCGTACAAAACTCTTTTTCTATGTTTCGCCACTGTATCGTTGTTGGTGAGGGCATAACAATGCTTCGAACTGTTAACTCCCCTAATCTGTAGCTAAATGTAAAACTAACGAATGAATCACCATGTCCTAAAAACCTAAAAAAATCATTAACCCGAATCTTTCTAGTTCTAGCTCTAGTGTTAGTTCTTGAATAACAATTAAAATTAGAGAATTAGATACCGTCCTTGATTTGTACATCATATAGACAGCTTGTGGAATACCCCGAGTTTATCTATGAACATAGAATAGAGCAATTTGAGGAATAACCCGAGTTGGATTCTATCTATGAGCGCTAACATTAATATATAAATATATTGAGGTCCGTTGTATTGAGATTTTACAGGAGTTTAACCGTCTTTAGAGACGTGCGGCTAAACCCGAATGTTTCTAGTTCTAAGTTTAATGAAGTCTAATTAGTTAGCTCTAGTTTTAATTGTTAAGCAGCGCTATACGAAAAACTAGAATCATTCGGGTTTAGCCGTCTTTAGAGACGTGTGGCTAGACCCAAATGATTCTAGTTCTTGGTATAGTGCTAGTTCTACATAGCAACAGTGCTAGTATAAAACTAGAACTAACACTAGACCTAAAACTAGAATCATTTCATGTAGCTTTACCTTTACCTTTGATACATTAAACTTAGAACTAGAAACATACGGGTTTAGCCGCACGTCTCTAAAGACGGTTAAATCCGAATGCTTCTAGTTGTCGGTCTAGTGTTAGTTCTAGTTTTATATTAGCACTGTTACTATGTAGAACTAACACTATACATAGAACTAGAATCATTTGGGTTTAGTCACACGTCTCTAAAGACGGCTAAACCCAAATGACTCTAGTTCTAGATATAGTGTTAGTTCTACATAGTCATAATACTACTGCAAAACTAGAACTAACACTACTAGAATCACTAGAATCATTCGGGTGTAGCCGTCTTTAGAGACGTGCGACTAAACCCAAATGATTCTAGTTCTATGTATAGTAACTACTAGTTCTATGTAAGTAGCAAACTCAGACTCGTTCGATAAAGCATCACTTTGCTGATTTGGTCCATAAATAACTATTAATTTATTTTAAACTTAATGAATAAAGATTTATGCAAACACAGAAAACAATTATTTATCCAAGAGGGAAAACTTTTACAACTACAGCTGTTAGCCTCTCACAAGAATACTAGAACAGTAACGACCTAACCTTAAACTTTCTTATTTCGCGAAAACTTTGTACTTTTAAGTTTTACTTCCGTTTCCGTTAAGTCGGAACTCGTCAGAAATCCCTTCGAAACTTATAACACCACATATAAACACTGTCACATTCTAGTACTAAAAATGTTCTCTTCGTCAATGTAGCAATTCCTCAGACGTTTACGGTTTAGTTTTGGTAGTTGTTTGGGAAATACGACGTATCTAGAGACGCTATCTCTAATTTGATACCCGATGCGAATGTAAACTTGTCACGACTTCCTAGTAAGACACGCTTAACAAGTTTCAACACCACGTTACGTCGTCAATCCAACTCACGTTCGCCTAATTAAATCAAAAACAAATATAAACTTGGAAACTAAAGATTTCGTTGTACAAAATTAAGTTGTTGTTTTAGAAATAATTAAATTTCTTTTTTAGTTAAACGAGCTATGACTACAGAAGATAACGGCAACATTGGACTATTAAATCCAACATCAAGTAGCAATGAAGATCTTAGCGAATACACGGATGCCGACGAAAGTATTTCGGCTCCAACCGAATTTCTTGCAGAGGTAAATAAATACACGTCTTCTACTTTATAAATTATTTTCATCGATGATTTGTCCTCGTTTTGCAAAACTGTCTAAGAGCATTTGCCGCGTACAAGTTGGCGATGGTCCAAGTTTCGAGTGATATCGCGTTGTTTTCTTGTAAACTTCGCCTAGTTTAACATGTTCATTCACGAAATCGATACAACCAAAAGGGATTTGTAGTTGTATTCTACGCGGAATAAACCATCTCGCCCCTATAGATGTTAAATTACCGGAATTTCCGTGTGGCCTCAATTAGCCCGGTTAAAATTTCATTTCAACTTTGGCGGGTAGGAAATTGGACACTTCCAATTTCCCGTCGATGGGAGACTTTACGACCTATTACTAACCTTTTAATCTTTGTTTCACTCCCTTTTAATTTCCAGTTCCTATCGGCCGTCATGTTAAAGGATTATGAAACTGCTCTCAAATATTGCAAACTTAGTAAGTTTCAATTTGTGTCTAAAATTATATTAATTAAAATTTGATTTTGTTTTAAAACGTTTTAGTTCTTCAATATGAACCTAATAATGTTACAGCCAAAGAATTTTATCCATTAATTTTGGAAAAATTGCAATCTTGTAAGTAACACAATTATTTTTTTCTCTATGTAAATATATCTTTATATATTATATTTCAACAGTGAAAAATGATGAAGATAACAGCAATGAAAGTGAAGATGACGATAACGAAGAAAATACAAGCAGTTCAAGCAATTCAAGTGAATCTACGTCCGAAGATAGCAGCGAAGATCAGGTAAAAAGCTAATTAATTTCATTTGTATCTAACAAGCTTTTTTTTGAAAATCATTTAGGAAGAAGAATATGTTATGGAAAATGGTCCAGGTGATAAAAGGTCGAAGGGGTCATCTGAAGGAGATGGTACAACAGGAAGTTATTCGAGCCTCGAAGATGACGAAGCTGAAGTTGACCAATTAACCGCATTGGCAGCTAAATATCATTTAGATAACATTAATCTTGGAAATGGAAATAAATTGTGTAAGTAGAAATTAAATACGATAAGGTGAATAACATCCATTCTAATATTTTAACTAAATTAATGTCATAAAGATTAAAAATAGAATGATACAGATTTAGTTTCGATGCGCTTTTAGTTGCGGTTTTGTCGCAGATCATTTTAGAATATAATGCAGTCAAGTCTGCTTTTTGAATTCATAAAAAGATATTATGCAGAGATGATGTATACTTTATACGGAGCTGTCTTGATGCAAACTTAACACAGGCATGATGAAGATGGACTTGTTGCTAACTTAACGAGTTTTGATGGACTCCTAGCATCTCAAACATAAACATAGAGAATGCTTTTGATAACACCTCCGACAAATCCATATACAATCAAATGGCATATAGCCATCTTGAAAAGTCAGCAGATCATAACCAGTCTGAGAGGCTGTGAGCCTTTCCTATAATGTCTGGTAGATGAAGACTTGATGAACACATTAACACAATCCGAGGTAAATATAAAGTAAACAGAAAGCCCTAGTACTTACCAGTACTTGGTGCAGAAGCAATTGGCTCAGCATCAATCCAAACAAAATTGAAATATGTAAATAACATTCGTTTTCGCATTTTAAATGGACTTTTTATTTTTATTATTTCTCTACCGGTTTCGCTATTTGTTATAGCATCATCAGGAGAATACGTTACAAAAGCATCTTACTAAAGAAATTACTGGGCATTTGTTTTTGTGTTTACACTTTTAAATTACACTGAGAATTTTGTAAAATTATGATTAACGAGGATTAAATTTTGTAAAAAAAAAAACACCAAACTTTGGCAGCAAGGTACATGACGCATTTTAAACGAATTTTATTTACATCAAACATAAAATGGAAAGAAAATCATTAAATAATATAAAATTGAAATAGTTCCTTCACTCGGAGAAGGAAGCTATAATTGACCTTAAAACAGAAGTTAAAAATGTACTTAAGGGTAATACTACACAGTAGTGATGGAACGGAAAGTGATTTTGCGAAAAGCCGGGTACCGGATATTCGGCATCCCCTTCGGCCGGATATCCAGTTATCCAGGAAATCTATCCGGCCATTATGGTTATAATTTCTGGTGCATTTCTGAAGTGATACCCTATATTGCCACATTATTGCGATATTTGAATAAAAATGACATTAATAAGAAAGCTGATAAAATATGTCAACTTATTTGGATCCAAGATACAAAATGAACTTTTTTGATGGTGATTTAACTAACGAAGCAATTCTAAAAAGAGGATGCTTTAATTAATAATTGGCTTTATTTCCACAAGGATCCTTCAAGAAATTAATTTTATAGCGAATTTTGAAAGTTATCGATGAAAATTGCAACATCGAAAATTNTGTCTTGATGCAAACTTAACACAGGCATGATGAAGATGGACTTGTTGCTAACTTAACGAGTTTTGATGGACTCCTAGCATCTCAAACATAAACATAGAGAATGCTTTTGATAACACCTCCGACAAATCCATATACAATCAAATGGCATATAGCCATCTTGAAAAGTCAGCAGATCACAACCAGTCTGAGAGGCTGTGAGCCTTTCCTATAATGTCTGGTAGATGAAGACTTAATGAACACATTAACACAATCTTCTGCACCAAGTACTTACCAGTACTTGGTGCAGAAGCAATTGGCTCAGCATCAATGCAAACAAAATTGAAATATGTAAATAACATTCGTTTTCGCACTTTAAATGGATTTTTTATTTTTATTATTTCATAATCAGGAGAATACGTTACAGAAGCATCTTACTAAAGAAATTACTGGGCATTTGTTTTTGTGTTTACACTTTTAAATTACACTGAGAATTTTGTAAAATTATGATTAAAGAGGATTAAATTTTGTAAAAAAAAACACCAAACTTTGGCAGNGGAAATTTTCATACTCATATTCCAAGAAATGGATTTTATACGAATTTTTAAGACTTAATCGGCGAAAATTGCAAAATTCGAAAAAATTGTCGATCATTTCAAAAATTTATTTCTCAAGAACTGAAAGTGATTTTTCAAAACGGCTTGTTGCATTAAAAAGAGGATACTTCAATAATTAATAATTGGTGATATTTCCACAAGGATCCTTAAAGAAATTAATTTTATAGCGAATTTTGCAAGTAAGCGATGAAAATTGCAACATCGAAGATTTTATCAAAACTTTAAATATTGTTTTTTCAAAAACTAAAAGTTATTCTTCAAAACGTGTTGGTTCATTGGAAAGAGGACACTTTTATTAACATTTTGGGAAATGTTCATACTCATATTCCAAGAAATCGATTTTATACGAATTTTTAAAACATAATCGGCGAAAATTGCAAAATTCGAAAAAATTGTCGATCATTTCAAAAATTTATTTCTCAAGAACTGAAAGTGATTTTTCAAAACGGCTGTTTGCATTAAAAAGAGGATACTTTAATTAATAATTGGTGATATTTCCACAAGGAACCTACAAGAAATGTATTTTATAGCGAATTTTGCAAGTTATCGATGAAAATTGCAACATCCAAATTTAATGAAAACTTCAAATATTGTTTTTTCAAAAACTAAAAGTGATTTTTTAAAACGTGTTGGTTCATTGGAAAGAGGACACTTTTATTAACACTTTGAGACATTTTCATACTTATATTCCAAGAAATGGATTTTATACTAATTTTTAAAACTTAATCGGCGAAAATTGCAAAATTCGAAAAAAATTTCGATCATTTCAAAAATTTATTTCTCAAGAACTGAAAGTGATTTTTCCAAAACGGCTTGTTGCATTAAAAAGAGGATACTTTAATTAATAATAGAAAGTGATAACAGCGACAGTTCTGTTAGTAATGAATGCGATGATGAATTACAAGCAAAGAGAAGAAAACTAGACGAAACTACAACAAGAGATTTTATATATCGTTTTGGGATTGTTACAGTGAGGTTGCTAATAACAAACCTGATATAAATAAAAAATTTCGAAAAAGATAACGATGAAATGATTTATTAAATGTTATAGGCGCTACATATGTTTCGAGACATGCGTCTCGTCTTCAGGCACGACTAAAATGAAACATGAGATGAAATGAGTATCACAATAAATATTAATTTAAAAAATTATCGTCAGTAGTTTACTTAGAGGTACATGTAAACAAATAAAAATGGGATCTCGACAAACAACTAATCTCCAACACAAAAACAAATTAAATAACAAATTAAAAACCAAAATATCCGTCTAGAGGCTCTTTAAACTGTAAACCAACTAAATTTTATTAATTAGAATTAAAGCAATATGGCGTGAACTTACGTGTTGAAGAAAACAAGTCTAATAAAAGCAGTGATTTAAAACTTAATTTCAGCGAATCAAACCCCCTACAAGATTTTAAAGGTTCTTTAATAAATCGAAACAAAGGCAATTTTAATTTATAAGATTTGATTCAATACTGTAGAATTTTTATGGAATACAGGTTATTATAAAGATAAAAATAAAATCAAAAGTGTTGCGCATGTCACATTTTTTGAAAAAAATGATATAAATAAAGTTGTATTCAAAAAAAAACGTCCTATTGAGGTTGAACTTGATTATTATCTGCAGTGTGCAAAACCTAAAAGAGATACTAATGCCTGTGAATAGTGGAGTACTAAGTAATAGATTTTTAATCAACTATGCGGTATCCGGACGGATTTTAAAAAATAGCCGGATATCCGTTCCACCACTACTACACAATAAATTAAACTGGTACTCCCACATAGATAAGAAAAGGCAAAAGGCCATTGTGGCTAACCAGATCTGCCGCAGGCTCTTCGGAAGGAACTGGGGTCTTAAACCACGTAAACCATCAACTTTTGGAGGGCTAAAGTTACAATAGATCTTATAGATCGCGGTGACAAGAAGGGCCGCTCCCCTCAGCCCAGCAGCAATAATAATAATAATAGCACCACAAACTAGATCAAGCCAACATTACAACATTATCTGCTTACTAACATTACTAATTATAGTTTCTCCTTATTTATAACATAATGAATGGATGTTGTTCACAACATAACATTATCCATATAACATTTAAATTTATGTGGCAATACTCAATGAGCATTATGTATATAATCGTAATGTTTATAACATTGTCCACAATTTAATAGGTAACATTCTTCATCACTCATCCACATTGTACTTTACTTTAAAAGCAAATATTTGAAAACCAACAAAAAAACATTTATAGATGGTACAAGCTTGAAGGTGAAGATGAATTCCTTTGAACCAAAACTGGCAGGAATTTCAACAAACGTCGTAGAAAATCCACTTCCGTTCGGAACGAGTTCCGATTCAGAGTCGCCAACTGAACCAGTGAGCCAACAAACGATAGCGTTACTGAGGGCGAAGGTTGTGCCAAATTAAAATTAGTTCGTTTACATTTTTTTTGTCTCCCATAGATTGTCGTGAATACATTAAATAAATTTTCCTTTGTAGAAAAAAAAATACAAAACAAATAACCGGTAATGAAAACAAAAACTGCTTTTAAAATCAAAAAGAATAATACCTATATTTAATATTTTATAATCAATGTTTATTTAAACTCAATATGGACTGCGATTGCAATAATAAAGTCACAATCAATGCAAAAATTTATTTTTAAATCTCAAAAAAGAATTTTTGCGTTGATGTGAATCTCGAATTAACAATGTACTAGTGCAGATCAAAAATATTATGACCATAGGTGTTACTTCTTTGAAACAAAAAAAATAATAAAATAATAAATAAGAGAGTGAATATTTTATAATGAAGGAGATTAATAGAACAAAATATATGTAGCGTAGAAATTAGATGTAGATTTTAAAGAAGGGATTATAATAAAAAAAGGATAATGATGTTAAAAAGGGAAAATTGACGAAAGAAGAAACGGAACAGAGATTGTCAGTGTAAAACTATATATATTTTTGTATTTTTTTAAATAGTTAGTCAACCGATAGTTTTTAAACCTAACAAAAAGAAAAAGACCAAAAATATGATGATTGTAGATGAGACCCCGTCTAAAATTATACAAAAAAAAACTATAAAAACGAGTGATTTGTATAGCAAAATGTATTAACTTGTTTTCGAATTTATTTGTAGAACTAATCGTAATTGTAACACTAATCGTCACAAAAGAGAATTGGTTCTAGACAACTACGAAGACTGAGTGAATTTTTTCTAAATGGGTAGTTGTAGAATTTTTAAAAAAGATAACAGCTGACATATCTCGTGACAACAAAAAAAAAAATAAAAAAAATAAATTGGCTGACGAAAGAGTATGCAAACGAAAAGTAATTTAAATAAAAATCGTATTCTTAGCGAAAAATTATTAAGAAAAATAATAAAAAATTCCTTTATCGTTGTATAAAAACGTTTCGACAAAAAAGTAAATTGGCCATACTCGTCTAGAGCATACTCTTATAGCGTGTCATTTAAATGTTATAGATTATATTTTACTATTTATAAAGAAAATAACGTGTTAGGGACTTTAAATGAAGACTTAGAAAAACTGAAACTAAAAATGAAGGAATTTAATGAGGTTGTTTTCTCTTCTCTACTTTTAAAACAGTTTCCCGTCTTCCCTTCTAATCCTATTTAATCATTTTCCTATATACCAACATCTTTTTCTTCGATATAAATAAACCTAAATATAAAATAAAATCAAAGTTTTTTAGAGTTTTTATAAAATTTTAAACAATTTTTTTCTTTGTTCATTCCGTTCTAAGCAATGGTGTGGCCTTCGTATTAATGTGTCATTATTAAACAAACATTGTAAAATGTAGTGTATAGTAATAAAAAGCATATCAAGAAATGTATTAACCATAAGTGTTTTATTTTTGTATTTTTATCATTTCCTACCGAAAACCTTATCTCTAAATAATAAAAAAAAAGATTACTCAAAATCAATATTCCTACTAATCTATAATAATTTTTTAAACATTTATCGAAATGTTTATATTTATTACTACCTTATTAAAAAATCCGGAGTGGTTCTAATGATTTAATTTTAAAAGTAAAAAAGAAATAAAACTAAAACTAGAAATATTTTATTTAAACCCGAAACTTTCTAGATCTAGGTCTAGTTTTAGTTCTAGTTGTTAGTCAGCGTTAGATTGTTATATATTTTTATTAAACGAAAAGTAGAATTAAAACTAAATCTAGAACTAGAAACGTTCGGGTTTAGCTGCACATATCTTAAGACGGCTAAACCCGAATATTTCTAGTTCTAGGTGTAGTGTTAGTTCTAATGTTGGTGTTAATTCTAGTTAGAATTGTTATTCAGCGGTAGATTGTTGTATATTTTACATTGAATTAAAACTAGAACTAACACTAGACCTAGAACTACATTAGACCTAGAAAGATTCGGATTAAACCCGAATATACACAGTAACTGTGCTAGTATAAAACTAGAACTAGCACTAGACCTAGAACTAGAATCATTTGGGTTTAGCCGTACGTCTCTAAAGACGGCTAAACCCGAATGATTCTAGTTCTGGATATAGTGTTAGTTCTAGTTTTACACTTGCATTGTCACTAGAACTAATATTAGACGTAGAACTAGAAACATTTGGGTTTAGCCATACGTCTCTTAAGACGGCTGCGAATGATTCTAGTTCTAGGTCTAGTGCTAGTTCTAGTTTTATACTAGCACAGTTACTATGTAGAACTAACACTATACCTAGAATTAGAATCATTTGGGTTTAGCCGTACGTCTCTAAAGACGGCTAAACCCGAATGATTCTAGTTCTAGGT